AACGTGGATTTAAAAAACATTTTTTTGAAAATGTAACCAACTTCGATTTTCTTCAAAAATATTTTTTCGAATAACTAACAAACGTGGATTTAAAAAAAATATTTTTTAATAATTAATAAACGTGGATTTAAAAAAATATTTTTTTCAAATAAATAAGAAACATAGATTAAAAAAATATTTTTTCAAATTAATAACAAACTTAGATTAAAAAAAATACATTTTCAAATAAATAACAAACTTAGATTTAAAAAAATACATTTTCCAATAAATAAGAAACGTGGATTTAAAAAAAAAATACATTTTTGAATAAATAACAAACGTGGATTAAGAAAAAAAAATACATTTTTGAATAAATAACAAACGTGGATTAAGAAAAAAAAAATACATTTTCGAATAAATAACAAATGTGGATTTTTAAAAAATATATATTTTTCGACTAAATAAGAAACGTGGATTTAAAAAAATATTTTTTAATAAATAACAAACGTGGATTTTCTTAAAAAATATTTTTTCGAATAAATAACAAACGTGGATTTAAAAAAATTAAAAATATATATATATTTTTTGAAAAAATAGCCAACGTGGATTTAAAAAAATTAAAAATATATTTTTTTGAAAAAAAATAGCCAACGAGGATTTAAAAAAAGTATTTTTTTTTTTGAATAAATATCAAACGTGTATTTAAAGAAAAATATATTTAATATAATAAATAACAAACGTGGATTTTTTTAAAAAATATATATATTTTCGAATTAATAACAAGCGCGTATTTAAAGAAAAAAATATTTTTTCGAATAAATAACAATACAATTTTTTTGAGGCATCCTTTAGTCGTTGATTTTTCAAAAAATATTTTCAGGAATCCATTAGACGTGGATTTAAAAAAAAAAAACATTTTTAGAAACCTTTTAGACGTTGATTTTTAAAAAAATATTTTTTCAAGGCAAGACCGCTTGCTAGTCCTTGATGATCCTTGAAAGAATTTCTTTAAAAGGTCCACACTTATTGGTCTTAAGGTCCTTGAAAAAAATCTTTTAAAAATCTAGAATTATCCATCAAATCATTTTTTTTTATTTTCAAGGACCTTAGGAACAATAAATCCTAAGGTCCTTGAAAATAAAAATTTTGAAAATCCAATAAACGTGCCTTTAAGGTCCCTGATTTTTTTTTTTAAAATCCACGCTTATTGGCCATTAGCCCTTGAAAAAATTGGTTTTAAAAATCGGCGTTTATTTGGTCATTGATAACTTCAATGTTTATTGGCCACGTTTATTTAATTTAAGAAATCAGCATTTATTGGCCTTAAAGTCCTTGAAAGAAATTCTTAAAAAGTCCACGTTTATTTAGATGAAGATCCTTGAGAATTTCCAAGATTATTGGCCTTGAGTTCCTGAAAAAAAATTTAAAAAATCCACGTTTTTGGTCTTCAGATTCTTGACAAAAAAAAAAATGTTAAAAATGTTACGTTAATATTTTTTAAGGTTGTATCCGGTCTGAATTTTGTAAAAATCATTTTTTCAAGGCTGCCTAAAACTTGCTATTTTTTAATTTTTTTGTTATAAATTTTTGTTGGTTTTTTTTTTTCGAAATTATAATCCCTGTTTTCATTGCTGCATTGTTTTCTTCAAAAATCACCACCTCCCTCCCTCTCCTTTTTTGCATATTTTCCCCAGTGGATTTGCCAAACACCAAAATGTGTCGCAATATGTCAATTGTAATGTAAAAACTGTCTGTCAGTGGTTTTGCTCTAAGTGCGGACAAGAGCAAGTGCAAATGCAGTAAAAGCTCAATGGAATATTTCACCAAAAGTGGCTATGAGTGTGTGTGTGTTGGGCGACCGACCAAAAACGCAAACAAGAAAGCAGGCGAGCCAAACAAAAGGGGAGAAAAGACGAAAAACCCAAAATCCGAAAAAAAAATGAAACCACAAATGAAAATATGAATGATTGAGGACATGGCAGGATAGCTCCAAAAAAAAAAAAAAAAACAAGGGATACAAAACAAAAAGCAAAATTGAAACAGAATTTTTAAGTAATAAATATTAGGAGGTGAAAGAAAAACAAACCAGAAGCCGGTTGGATGAATTCGCTAAGGGGCCAGGGGGCGTATGAATATTTTTAATTTCTAAACAACGGGTACTGGTGGCGTATGATTTATGCCAGCACGCATACGCCGCAATTTAAATTATAATTTAATTTAATTTTAAATGGCAATGGAGAGCAAAAATTACTGCTTGAATACCCCCATGCCATGGCGAGTGAGATTAATTATTCATCTCTATCTTTGATTGCAGTTTTTTAACAACTCAGAAATTTAAATTAATTCATTTTTTTTTTTCGTTGTACTTCACTTCCTGTTAACAAACAACAATCCTCGCTCATTGTCCTTTGGTTTCATAATGAGATGGGGTTTTTTTTGGCTTTTTTGCCAACTCGGCATAAATAATTAGTGTACAGCAAAGACATTTATCATGCGACCGAATGGCCGGACTAGCCTGGCCAGCCAGCCAGGTAGATCCAATTAAAACTTAATTAGATTGTGTTGTTTTTGTGCGTCCGCTCGTGTGCGTGAATTATTTTTTTTATTTATTTTATGATTTCTATTTTTAATTAAATTTTAAATGTTTAGCAGTTTATTTTTTTTTTTCAAAAATTACGACTACTCATTTGCTGGGATATGCCTCCGGCAGAGGCGAAATGAATGACAGCGGAAATTATATAATATCCTGGACACTAAAAAGCGGCCGGATAATAATCAGTTTGAATTCTTTTTTCTGTGGAGAGTGTTTTGTTAATTAGGTAATGAATTTAGAGATAAGGTCAACATTTTAATTGCCTTCGGGTAATTAACAAAGAATTTTAGGACTTGGATTTGATGATCAATGGGGGAAATAATTTCAAAATTTTTCAGAAAAATTTTTTTAATGAAATAAAATGTATGATATTATCTCATGGTATATATTGAGTATACAAATTTCTTTTGTTCAGAGACTCACAATGAAATTTGATTCAGAATAATTCTCTCTTTGACACTTTGTTCAAAAAATGAAGTATAAAGAGAGATTTTGAGTCGTATTGAAAATGTATTTAATTAACAGTACAAAAAAGCCAAGCCACAATTTTTACTTTTAGTACATAGATTTGACTGTAATTGTCATAAAGCTATTGTATCTAGATATATGGTTTATTCTGAGATTGATAGTGAAATCTTGTGTAGAATATTTACTCTTTTGAAAGTTTCCCCCTAAAATGAAATTTTATGTTACTTTCAGGCGTCAAATCGAAAAGACCAGGGAAAAAATTGAACAAAAATTTAAAAAAAAATATTTTCGGTTTTTTTGGGAACATGCAAATATTTTTTGGATACGCAATAGAAATAGAGTTTTACTTTCTTTGGAGACTGATAGTAAAATTTGATGAAGAATATTTTTGTCTTTGACGTTATACTTCTAAAATGATGCTTTGTTGGGGAGTTTTGCACAGACTCATACAAATGGGTGAGACTGCTGTCTTTTCTAAGCCACTCCTCCGACAGCTGTTAAAATTATTCCACTGACAGCTCATTATATTGCTGACAAGCATACAAAAGCATTTTGGTGGGAATTTTTCAGAAAAAAAATTATTCGTGATGGAATTCAAGCGTGATAGTGTGATTTCCTCATATTTGACTGGAAAACGACAAGTGGCTATGGCTATCGTTAGAGCACTCCGGCATTTAAATGTGAATAAATCTTTTGTGTCTCGTACCCTTGCTCATTACCGTGATAATGGTACCGTAGCCAAGGAAGTGGTCGAAAAAAAACAACAACATCAGCAGCAATGGTTTAAAAATAAAAACAGTGGCCGAAAAATGGCTCGTGAGCTGAACATATCGCAATATTTCATTCGGCAAATATTGAAAAATGAGCTCGGGATAAAGCCAATGAAATTCCAAAAAGTGCAAGAACTTACACCGCAACAGAAAGAAAATGGATTCTAAAGAGCTAAAAAGTAGCTTCGCTTCACTTGGCCAAAAGTGGTGAACTGCCGAATTTGGCTTTGGTTTTCTCCGTTGAGAAAACATTCGCTGTCAGTTCGTTGCAGTTTGTAAACATGCCAAAGAGGTCAGCTGAAAATGTGCACCTTCGGTTGGCCACCAGAACTCAAGCGCCGGCCATGGTGTGATGGTGATGGTGTGGGCCGCCATAACAGCCGATAGTCGCTCTCCGCTCGTATTTATCGACCCTGCCTTCAGAATAATTGCGGAATACTATCGCGAAAATATTCTGGAGAGTGTATAAAAGCCTTGGGCATGCAAACTTTTTGACCGCATTTGGCCACTTTGGACATTCCAATAGGACTCAGCACAATCGCACTCAGCACGCGCCACCTAAGAATGGTTACAAAATGAGGTTCCTCGCTTCATTTCCAGCGCACAATGGCCACTAAAATCTCCGGATACCAATCCGTTGGACTTTTGTGTTTGGAGTATTTTGGAAATCAAGGTTGGCACTAAAAAATACCAAAGTGTCGATCACCTCAAGCAAGAGCTTAGCCGGGAATGGGCCAAAATACCGCAGAGCAAAATTCGTGCAGCGTGTGACGGTTTCTTTGGCCGTTGGAAGGCTATAATTCGTGCCAAAGATGACTAATTCGAACAAATTTAAAGTTATTCTTAAATTTGATGCTATTTCCGACACTTAATAATATTGTAAAAAATGTAAAAATCGTGTATGTCATATGTTCCAGTTTTTTCGACTTAGGGACATAGATAACTGCGGAAAAAGTGGTGATTTGGGAACTAAATGATAGGATGGGCCTATGATTGTTCTGATTTGATATTGTGTGTGTGTGTGTGTGTGGAACAATGGGCGTATGATTTATGGCAAGGCTTATACGACAAGCTTTCAAAATTTGTTCAAATCAATTTTGTTTTGATTTTTTAATGAAGAATAAATAAAAATAAATTTCAAAACATGTGGAAAATTTGAAAATTACAAAAATGCAATAGGAGCAAAAAATTAAAAAAATGATATAAAAAATAAAATGAAGGAAAGAACTGAAATGTAGGGATATATGATTGTTCTGATTTGATTTTGTGTGTGTAAGGAACAATGAGCGTATGATTTATGGCAATACTTATACGGCAATTTTTGATTTTTTTTTTTAAGAATAAATGAAACGGATTTTGGAAAATGTGAGAAATAAGAAAAAAATATTTAAAAAAAATATAAAGAAATAAAATAAAAGAAATCTGAAAAAAGGAAAAATATTGATTGATGGGTGGCGTATGATTTTTATTATCTGATATTGTGCGAATGGATAAATGGGCGTATGATTTATGAAAATACTTATACGTAAGCATTTAAAATTTAAATGAATTATCCATGTGATTTTTATTAAAGGACCAAAAGAAAAAAAATTAAAAAATATAAAAATATCCGAATAATAAAAACAAAATATAAAAATGGAACATGAATAAAAAATTGAAAAATTTAAATGAAAAAAAAAAAATATATATATATAAAAAATAAAAAACAGAAAGAAAAAATAAAAATTATAAAAAATAGAAAAAAATATTGAAACTCAAAAAACTAAAAAAAGTGAAGTGAATGAAAAATGTGGAAAAAAGACATTTCGAAAAATTGACAAACGAAACATTTCAAATAAAATAAAATTTGAAAACGACAAGAAAATGGAAAAATATTAAAAAAATAACAAAACGAAAGAAAGACGTTTCAAAATATTGAATTGAAAAAAAAAAAAAATTGAAAAAATTCAAAATTAAAAAAAAAAATACTTCAAATGATTCACCCCCGCCCATCCTTTGGAAACATGTGAAAATTCGAGAGAAGAAAATCCACAAAGAAAAACCAATTGCACAATTTTCTTGGCAACTCCCTCAGATGTTTATCTAAGAGAAGAAACCCCCCGGACTGCCTGGGCCACATATCAATCAAATTGCTGCTGCCACAAACAACAACGACAACAAATCAATTGATCGAAAAAAATATAAAAAAAAACTAAACTCGTGTACATGACATCCGCCGAGTGGGATTTGCGTGCTCTCAAGGCACTGGAGCAGGAGCAGGAGAAACACAAGAAACATCAACAACAACAACAGCCACATCTAAAAAAGCATACCTATTTGGGTCTTTCGCAGCGATCCCTCTATGACCCCTCACCCTCCTCCTCGCTGCCCATAACCCCGCCCAGCCTCAAGAAATCTCTAGTCAAACAATTGCCCACAGCGAATACTCAACATTTTATTCACACCGCTCTAAAGGAACGTAGTGCAGTACCAGTCCCACCCCCTGCCACAAATGCCAGTAACTCCTCTGCCTCCTCGGCCTCAGCCTCGAATAGCTATGTCCAGCTGCAGGCCCAACAGCTGCTGAAACTGCCCACCATTAGTGAACATCATCAGCAGTATTTGCTGGCCCAGAAGAAGTGGGGTGGTAGTAAGGATTCCGCAGGGGGAAAATTGAAATTTTCCAAGGTTTTGTCCCTGTCGGCCCAGTCGCTGACAAATCGTTTGGGTAGTAGGAAATCGAAAAATAAGTCAGGAAGTTCTCCAGGACATTATGTGGCCTCCTCGCCGCCCATGTATACCCCACCGCCCACAAGGCGTTGTAATACCCTACATCACACGCCCCAGGTGCGTAAGACTTTCAAGACTCTGCAGGAGTTGGAACGCCGGAAATTGGAGGCACGGCCGGGAGAGTTACAGATAACCAGGACCCTGCATCGCATTGCAGGCACCCACAAGACCTATTGGAAGTATGGCATAAATTCCACGGCCAATTCCATTGTGGGACAGCATCAGCAGAAACAGCAGCAGCAACAGAATTTACCACAACAGAGGGGGTCTCAACCGAAAAGGTGCCACAACTCGGAGCTGGAGTCCTATACCTCAGATGAATTGGATTCCGAGGAGAATCAAAGTCCAGAACAGCCGGACAACAAGGACATGGGCCTGGAGAGTAGAGGAGAACCCCAGCACAAGGAGAAGGGAGAGGAAGATGGGGAGGGCTTGGCCTTTGATTTTGATGACAATGCCACCGAGGTGGGCTCCTGCACGGTGCCATTGGCCTCGGATTCCATTGAAATGATGAATTTAATGTTGTCAGCAGCCCAGACGGCTGTTATCACCCAGCCCAGCATTACAGCCAGCCAACCAACAGGGGATCCCCCACAGCCACCACCGCCCGATTTAACAGCCATCAACAATTCCAAAGACAACAGAATCTCCACAGCAGCAACTGGTGGCGGTGGTGGTGTTCAAATTCCCAAGTATTTCACTTTGGGCCATTCACAACAGCAACAACACCGACACCACTCCTTCAACCGTTTCAGTGACACCGAGGACTATGTGGTGGCCTCTCCACCTCTGCCCGATGAGTTTCTTGCCGGTGGCAGCTTTTTACCTCTCCATCCTCATTCCCAAAATGAAGAAACTGTTGCTTTCAAAGCTTTACAACAACTCGCCAGACGCAAAAGCTTTTCGGGAGAGAAAATGAGAGCCCATTCGTTACAGCGCAATGTTAGCCTCAATTACAGTTATGGCGATGATGATGATGATGATGGGGAAGCTCTGCAGCAGCCAGAGGACTCAACAGAGAATGGTAATGACAGTGACCAGAATTCGGAGGAACAGAATCATGGCAATGATGGGCAGGGGGATGATGACGATGTTAATAACAGCTCTGTTCTCAACATAACCTCCACTCTTATGAGGGCCAACAGCACACGCCGGCAATCTCGTAGCTATGTCAACAACAGATCTCTGTTGAAAGCCTCCTCCCTGGATGTGCCACCCTCGGCCTTGGTCTATACCACAGATTTTAATGTTCCCAACTCGACAACGATTATCACCAATCCCCTGATGAATGCCACCGCCCAGCATCACCATACTCATCATGGCCATCATCCGGCAACCCTCAACCTGCTGAAATCCTCCTCCTCCGGCAAGCCGCTGAAAACTTCAGCCCAAATCAAACAGAAACTACTGGCCGTGGGTTCGAACAACAAATCGCCTTTCAACGATTTAAACTCGGTACGTCTTCGCCCACCGGGCGGCCATAATCTACAACAATTGTCACCGGCCAGTATGGTTCACTCTCCCCCTTCAGATGGCGGTGGCGGCGATGAGGCACTGCATCACTTTGCCCCCCAACATCTCCACTTGAATTTCCATCATGCCTCCACCCTGTCGCCGGATATCTATGACAATGCCTGCACGAACGGTGAACTCTGTTCGGCAGCCATGTCATCGCTCATCATCGACGATGAACTGGAGCAGCACATCAAGCAGTGTTCGTGTTCCTGCAATCACATGGGCTATGGGAATTCGATGGATTATCAGGTGAGTGGAAGTTAAACTAAATTATATTTTTTGAAGGGAAATAGGGGAAACTTGGGGGGTCCGAGATAAAATTAAATTGTTATCCTTGAAAAAAATCTCTAAAAAGTTATGCTTTTTGTCTAGAAATTCTTGAAGGAAATTCTTTAAAATTTACGCTTTTTGCCTTAGAGGTCCTTGAAAAAAATTCTTTAAAAATTTGCCTTAGAGGTCTTCATAAAAATATTTAAAAAAGTTATGCTTTTTGTCTTAGAGGTTCTTGGGAAAATTCTTTAAAAAATTTGCCTTAAAGGGCCTTGAAAAAATTCTATAAAAAAATTACGCTCTTTGCCTTAGAGGTCCTTGCGAAAAATTCTTTAAAAAAATTACGCCCCTTGCCCCAGAGGTCCTCGCAAAAAATTCTTTAAAAAATTTCCGAATATTACCTGAGAAAGATTTACATTGAAAAAAATCTTTAAAAAAAATTACGCAATTTTGAAAAAGAAATTATAACAAATTACGCTCCTTGCCCCAGAGGTCCTTGCGAAAAAATCTTTTAAAAATTTCCGAATATTACCTGAGAGGTCCTTGAAAATAATCTTTAAAAAGTTTACGAATTTTACCTTAGAGGTCCTTAAAAAAATTCTATAAAAATTTCGCTCTTGCCTTAGAGGTCCTTGCGAAAAATTCTTTAAAAAATTACGATCCTTGCCCCAGAGGTCCTTGCGAAAAATTAAAAAAAAAAATTCCGAATATTACCTGAGAGGTCCTTGAAAATAATCTTTAAAACGTTTACGAATTTTACCTTAGAGGTCCTTGAAAAAATTCTATAAAAATTACGCTATTGCCTTAGAGGTCCTTGCGAAAAATTCTTTGAAAAGAATTACGCTCTTTGCCTAGAGGTCCTTGCGAAATATTCTTTAAAAAATTTCCGAATATTACCTGAGAAAAATTTACATTGAAAAAAAATTTTAAAAAATTTGCGCAATTTACCTTAGAGGTCCTTGAAAAAAAAATTTGTAACAAATTACGCTCTTCGCCTTAGAGGTCCTTGCGAAAAATTCTTTAAAAAATCTTCGTTTATTGGTCTTAGGATCCTTGAAAAAAATTCTTTAAAAATTCCACGCTTATTGGTCCTTTAGTCCTTGGAAATAATTCTTTAAAAATTCCACGCTTATTGGTCCTTTAGTTTATTGTTCATCAGATCCTTGAAAAAATACTTAAAAAAGTCCACGTTTATTGCTGATGAGGTCCTTGAAAAAATACTTAAAAAAGTCCACGTTTATTGCTGATGAGGTCCTTGAAAAAATACTTAAAAAAGTCCACGTTTATTGCTGATGAGGTCCTTGAAAAAATACTTAAAAAAGTCCACGTTTATTGCTGATGAGGTCCTTGAAAAAATACTTAAAAAAGTCCACGTTTATTGCTGATGAGGTCCTTGAAAAAATACTTAAAAAAGTCCACGTTTATTGCTGATGAGGTCCTTGAAAAAATACTTAAAAAAGTCCACGTTTATTGCTGATGAGGTCCTTGAAAAAATACTTAAAAAAGTCCACGTTTATTGCTGATGAGGTCCTTGAAAAAATACTTAAAAAAGTCCACGTTTATTGCTGATGAGGTCCTTGAAAAAATACTTAAAAAAGTCCACGTTTATTGCTGATGAGGTCCTTGAAAAAATACTTAAAAAAGTCCACGTTTATTGGTGTTGAATTCCTTTGAAAAATTCTTTAAAAATCCACGTTTATTGCTGTTGAGGTCCTTGGAAAAAAATCTTTAAAAAATCCACGTTTATTGGTGTTGAGGTCCATGGAAAAATTATTTAAAAAATGCACGTTTATTGCTGTTGAGGTCCTTTGAAAAATTCTTTAAAAATCCACGTTTATTGCTGTTTAGGTCCTTGGAAAAAAATTCTTTAAAAAATCCACGTTTGAAAAAATTCTTTAAAAATCCACGGTTTTTGGTCCTTTAGTCCTTGAAAAAAATTCTTCAAAAATCCACGCTTATTGGTCCTTCAGTCTTTGGAAGAAATTCTTTAAAAAATCCACGCTTATTGTTGATGAGGTCCTTGGAAAAAAATCTTTAAAAAATCCAAGCTTATTGTTGATGAGGTCCTTGGAAAAAAATCGTTGAAAAATCCACGCTTATTGGCCTTAAGGTCCTTGAAAAAAATCTTAAAAAAAATTCACGCTTATTGTTGATTAGGACCTTGAAAAAAATTCTTTAAAAAATCCACGCTTATTGTTGATGAGGTCCTTGAAAAAAATTCTTTAAAAAATCCTCGCTTATTGTTGATGAGGTCCTTTAATAAAAATCTATGAAAAAATCCTTGAAAATGAATCTCCTTCCCCTTTTTTCCGCAATCCATTGTCGATCCATCAAAAATTGTTAAAATGAAAATATTTTCCTTTATGGCCTGTCATGGCCACTGCCATTGCTTTTATGCCAATTTTTTTCCTTTTGATAGAGAAGAACATTTTTTTCCCACCAAAAAAATAAAGCCATACATTTGAACTTGAGAAAAAAGAATAAAAATATTTGACAATACTTAAAATAAAAATAAACATTTTATGACAGCACTTTGACAAGTCAGGAGAATAAAGAAAAGAACACCTCCCCCATCCTCCTGGACCTCTGGACACTCAGCGTAATGGCAAATGTTTTATGTCTGAGACAAAGTGTTTTGGACAATAAGTCCAAAATAAAAATATAAAAAAAAGAAAAAACTCAGCAAATCTACCTTTTGCCATTTCAGAGGAGCATCAGCAACAACAACAACGACTTATTATAACAATAACACCAACAACAACAAGTGGGACATAAAAAGCATCAACATCAAATAGAATGGTAAACAAAATGTTAAGAAAAACAAAACGTTTGTTTTGACTAAAAATAAAACGCAGATAGCGAATGGCAGGAGGGTAAGGGAGGGTCTGAACTACCATTAATAGACCCCCACTATTGTCCTGGCGGCCATTAGGCAACCTACTTCCTCTTAGGAAGGTGAGCTCTTCGCTGTTATTTACCCGCACTTAAACAAACAAACTCATGCACACACTCACTCACATGTCCTCTAAGACAAAAACAAACAGAACACACATACTTTTACATTAAGCACACAAATATTTTCTTTACAAGGAAAAAAAACACAGGACAGGTGGGGTGAGGAGATGCTCGGGATGGTCAAAAAAAACTTGCAGTTTTGGTTTTAACGAGTTAAGAAGGCTAAACAAAAACTTATGGCTTTATAAAAACACGTACACACAGCTTAAGGATATATAAACAGAAGACACATACAAATACACAAATAAAAATAAACTCATATTAGTATTGGTGGGAGTATTTCATGACACATGAGAGCATCTCTCTGTATGTGTGTGGGCAGTAATGTCCAAAGAATTTTTTTTAGAGATTGGAATGGGAACACATTATTTTTTTGGGGTTTTGTTTCTCAGAGGAATTTTTTCACACACACACACACACACACTCATGTGTCTGTGTGTGTCCAGTCATAATGGACAAGGACATCTGTCGTGTAGTTTTTACCACAAAACAAAAATGGGATTTTGGGAGGGAAAATGATACTTTGGGCCCGATTACATAAGAGTATAAAATTATGGCAGTCAAAGGAGTGGATGTTTTAAAAAAAAATATTTTTTGAAAAGTCCTTTCAAACGTGTATTTTTTGAAAATATATATATTTTAAGCAAATAAAAAATAAAAATAAGGATTTTTTTTTTAAATTTTTTTTGAAGTCACCAACAAACGTGGATTTTTTAAAAAATATTTTTTGAAGTCATCAACAAACGTGGATTTTTTAAAAAAATATTTTTTGAAATAAACAACAAACGCGGATTTTTTAAAAAATATTTTTTGAAGTCACCAGCAAACGTGGATTTTTTAAAAACTATTTTTTGAAGTTACCAACAAACGTGGATTTTTTAAAAAATATTTTTTGAAGTTACCAACAAACGTGGATTTTTTAAAAAATATTTTTTGAAGTTACCAACAAACGTGGATTTTTTAAAAAATATTTTTTGAAGTCATCAACAAACGTGGATTTTTTAAAAAAATATTTTTTGAAGTCATCAACAATCGTGGATTTTTTAAAAAATATTTTTTGAAGTTACCAACAAACGTGGATTTTTTAAAAAATATTTTTTGAAGTTACCAACAAACGTGGATTTTTTAAAAAATATTTTTTGAAGTCAACAACAAACGTGGATTTTTTAAAAAATATTTTTTGAAGTCAACAACAAACGTGGATTTTTTAAAAAATATTTTTTGAAGTCAACAACAAACGTGGATTTTTTAAAAAATATTTTGTGAAGTAAACAACAGACAAAAATATATTTTTAGGGTATTTTAGAAATGTGGAAAAATCCAAGTTTATTGGTCGTATAGTCCTTGGAAAAAATTCTTTAAAAAATCCACGTTTATTGGTCGTATAGTCCTTGGAAAAAATTCTTTAAAAAATCCACGTTTATTGGTCGTATAGTCCTTGGAAAAAATTCTTTAAAAAATCCACGTTTATTGGTCCTATAGTCCTTGGAAAAAATTATTTAAAAAATCCACGTTTATTGGTCCTATAGTCCTTGGAAAAAAATCTTTAAAAAATCCACGTTTATTGGTCCTATAGTCCTTGGAAAAAATTCTTTAAAAAAAACACGTTTATTGGTCCTATAGTCCTTGGAAAAAATTCTTTAAAAAATCCACGTTTATTGTTCATGAGGTCCTTGGAAAAAATTCTTTAAAAAAAACACGTTTATTGGTCCTATAGTCCTTGGAAAAAATTCTTTAAAAAATCCACGTTTATTGTTCATGAGGTCCTTGAAAAAAATTCTTTGAAAAATCCACGCTTATTGTTCATGAGGTCCTTGGAAAAAATTCTTTAAAAAATCTACGCTTATTGTTCATGAGGTCCTTGGAAAAAATTCTTTGAAAAATCCACGCTTATTGTTCATTAAGTCCTTGGAAAAAAATCTTTAAAAAATCCACGCTTATTGTTCATAAGGTCCTTGGTAAAA